CCAGGGATATAAAATCTTCTTACCAGTTTGTAGAAAAATAGAAGGAACAATCAGGAACAATATAAAAACAGTTCAATAAATATCAGAAAGCAGTAAATAAATAATCATGATCAAAACAGTTGAACATAGAGAGATCAAAAAGAGTTACAGCATAGCAGCAGGTAAAAATGGTGTAGTAGTCCACCCTAACCATAATTTAGCTCTCCTTAAATACATTGGCTATAGAGCTCAGCCAGTCAGGATGCAGAATGACTCAGCACAATTCTTAAAGCTACATAATACATTCACATAATACAAACATACAATGTTGGCTTATATATTTCCTGGCCAACCAATTAGGCAATAACCATTTCCTAACACTAATCTCTTTTTTGTGGTGCTGTTTTTGATAGGTTGGACTGTTTTTTCCTTTTGTGTAAAGACAGATGCAAAAAATGAGTTAAGTAGTTCTGCTTTCTCCCTGTTGCTTGTCACCTTCTTGCCATTTTCTCCCAGCAATGGGCCAATTGTTTCCTTGACTTTTTTCTTGTTTTTAATATGTTGGAAGAAGCTTTTTTTGTTATTTTTTTACTTTAGTTGCAAGCCTTTGTTCATTGTGAGACTTAGCTTTCCTCACTTCATCTTTACAGGCTCAGGCTATTTGCTGATATTCTGCCTTAGTTATTTGCCCCTCTTTCCACTTTTTATACTTGTCCTTTTTGTCTTTCAATTTGTTAGAGAGTTCTTTATGCAGCCATGCTGGTTTCTTTTGAGATCTATTATTTTTCTTCATCATTGGTATTGTGCTAGACTGGGCTTTTATAATCTCACTTTTCAAAATTTCTCAAGCTTCTTGAGTTGTTTTCCCCTTGAGGATTCTCATCCATGGAATCCTTCTCAAGCTCTCTCTAAGTTTATTGAAATTAGCTCTCTTAAAGACCAAGATTCTAGTTTGACTTTGTTCTACTACTTGTGTTTGCATAATGTTGAATTCCAATATTGCGTGATCACTTGCCCCCAAGATTCCTGTAGCTTTAACACTATCATTTCATCTCTGTTAGTGAGAATTAAGTCCAATATGGCTGATTCCCTTGTTCCGTTCTCTACTTTTTGGGAAACAAAGTTGTCTGCTAGGTTTGTTAGGAACCTGTTGGATCTTCCACTTGGTGCAGAGTTTGTCTCCCAGTTGATGTCAGGGTAGTTAAAATTTCCCATTACTATTGTGATGTGCTTCCTACATACCTTAGTTAGCTGACTAGCAAAACTTCATCTACTTCCTCTGTTTGGTTGGGTGGCCTATAGTATAGACCTATGGCAATGTCATTTATCCACCCTTTAATATTGACCCAAATGCATTCAAGATAATTTTCATCATTGTTGTGCTCTATTTCTGTAGAGATGTAGTTATTTCTTATATATAGTGCAATTCCACCTCTTCTTTTATTTGGTCTATTTCTTTTAAATAATTTATATCCCTCTAGCTGTATGTTCCATTTGTGGGTTTCATCCCACCAAATTTCCATAATGGCAACAATATCATATCTGCCCTCATTTACTTGAATTTCTAATTCACCCTGTTTATTCCTCATACTCTGTGCATTGGTGTATAGACATTTGAGTCCATTTTGATTGACCCTGTGTTTACTGTCTACATAACCTGTGTTGTGCCTGACTGCCCCTACTTTCTTGCCACCTGTTTGATTAATGCACATGGTATGGCACTCACTATTAAATGTTTGGTTTTGGTTGACAGCAGGGGTGATAATCTTACTCACACAGACATCTATGTTACATGCACTGATAGCCCTATTAATTTTGGATTACTGGGGACAGAAATATTCTGTATCAATTAATTCTCTGTCCCCACTGTTCATTTAATGTTTATCCAGAAAATCTGTGAATTTATTGCTAAGTAACTCAGTCCCTTTCTTTGATAGATGCAATCCATCTCTTTTGTACAGTTTTTCATTGGACCAGTTGCAGACATCATGACTAATAAAACCAAAGCCTTCCCTTCTACACCACTTCTTTAGCCACACATTTAACTCCGCTACATGCTGGCCTTACCCTTTTTGTTCCTTATATACCGGTAAAACCTCTGAAAAGATAAGCCTACAACCTATACTACTAAGTTCATACCCCAAGCTCTGGAAATCATTCTGCACAGAAAGTACATCCTTTTGGGACAGATCACTTGTGCCAAGATGTATAATAGCATCAACATTACAGTCCTTACTGGCATTCTTGACTATCTTAAGAATATGCTTCTTGTCTCTGCTGGCAGTAGCACCTGGCAGATACCTGACCTCTTTCAAAACCTCCATATCCTTTCCTAAATTTACATCCCTTACAATTTACATCCTTTACAATTGAATACTATCTAGAATGAGCTCCCCCCAGAGATACGGAGGATCCCAGATCTGCGCACCTTTCGCCGCGCTCTTAAGACCTTTTTATTCCATCAGGCTGGCCTGGCCTAATCTTTTCCCTTTTTTCCCTTTTTAAAATGTAAATTTTAATCTGTTTTAAATTATTGGGGTGTTTTAAATCTGTTTTGGGCCAAATTGTTTAATTCGGTTTTACTTTGTTTTTAAATTTTGTATTTATGTGTTTTATCTTGTGGCTGTTCACCGCCCTGAGTCCTTCAGGAGTAGGGCGGTATATAAATCAAATCAAATGAAAAATGAAAATGAAAATGAATCACCAACCAGAAGGTGGCTTCTCTTTTTGTATACCGTGCTCTTCTTGTGTGACCGATGTGTAATACCTGGTTCACACTTTCCCCTTTCCAAAGTAAGTTCTTCATCTTGGACCGCGATCCCCTGCTTATTTGAGTTATCAGTATCACAACTACCTTGACCTGTCCCTTTAGTGTCCCTATTAAGGTCAGCAAGGGCACTATATCTGTTATGCTGGGACACAGCAAAAGCTTTGTGTTTATGGTTCACAGCTCCCATCCTGCCAGATCCCATGGTTGTCCATACTGCCCTTCTTCTGCAGGATCTTTGTGGTAGAGGGGACTGATGGCATGGCAGCTCAATAGAGTGGAATGGCTGAATTGGGCACCTAATTTCTGCTTGGAGAGCAATTAGTGATTCTAGATAGGTAATCTGTCCATGTAGAATACTAATTTGTTTACAAAGAGGACAGTACCCAAATTTGAAAAGAGTACTGCAAAAGACAGCTGCAAAACAAGTATTACACTGAACTACGCAGGTCATTTTGAAATAGAATAAAATCACAATCTCAAGTGCACTAACCCTGAATATATTATTACTATTTTTGGTTTATAGTTATATGATTCGCATGCTGTTAGGCCTGCGGGCCGCTACCTTTCTCCTCTGTACTCACTCTCAGACTCCCCCCTCACAGGCAGCAGCTCCTCCCCCTAGCTTCTGTGAAGTGAAAATATCTGAAACGATTTATGTTTCTTTCCATAATAAGGTCCAAATGAAGTCCATTTTAGTACTGTGGTATGATTCTGTGTGAAAATGATTTTATTTTAATTGCTTTATTATTAGTTGTGAATGTTTTTTCTAGTTACAGCATCACAAGGCTGCAGGCCAGCTAGGTATGCGAGGTGCACACCAACCAGACCTGGTCTGCAACAAGGGAGAGTTGCATGCACTAGGTCATGTACCCAGGGAGCTTGCCTCATCGTCTCTATCTGTTGGAGACTGGCCATTTTAAAATTTCTTCCTTAAATGAGTAGGATTATCAAAATGTCTTTACAGATATAACCCAGCACAAAATGTTCTGGACAGACTGCAATGATTTTAAATACTTAATTAAATGTACGATATTTAGGAGGAACATTGCATTGATGATGTAGAGTAAATAAGTCTACATTCATGTTTCAATAATTCCTGAAAAGAGTGCAGTTGTGATTGTTATATTTTTAGTTTCTATTATTATTATTATTATTATTATTATTATTATTATTATTATTATTATTATCATTGCCTTGTTAGGGTACTTTAATAAATGAATATAGTGGAAAGGTTGCTGAGTTTGATATCATGACGTGACTGCACCACAGGCGTTGAGCGTTTGCTGTAACCACGTTAGCTATTCTTTGGTGGCATGTAATGGGTTAAATTCCTCTGGGTACTAAATCATCCAATTGAGGTCAGAGATGGAGTAGCAATGGAGCATCTGATGACTGGGATTGCTTGGTTAGTGGCCCAGATTCTTATCTCTGTCTCTGTCCTGTTTATCCTCTGTCATGTGGAGACTTTCCTTTTATGTTTTTGCTATTACTGTTTGGCAGGGTAGATTGTCATTCTGAAAGACTGAATGACCTTCTTATTCCCCATTTTTTTCTCTGTGGAGATATGTTGTTTTGTATTCCCATTTGGCCGCAGAGATGCCAGTGCACAGAACATTCCCAGAATGAACAGGCAGGCACATGAACAGGAAAAAAAAATCTGCAGTGACTGTGGCTGAACTGAAAGGAAAAAAGTCTTCCTCTCCTCTTCCCTTCTTATAGCCAAATGCTACCATTCAGATCAGCGCAGGCTGTCGAATCAACAGCATGGCTGCCAACAGCAGCAGAGGTAAGAGAGGAATGTAGTGGATGAGTTAGTGAAAGCAGCATCAGAGCAAGAACTGAAGCGTCTTCCAAGAAAGCCTTGCGAGCGTTTGTATAGTCTGTTTGCATCTCATGTAGATGCACCTTTGTTTCTCTTACGCAAAGGGACAAGTGGGGAGATGGTGGAGGAAAATGGAGGGATCTGCTGCTGAAAAGAAAACCAAAGCCGCTTGTGATGCCAAAGAAAAGAAGCTCAATATGCAAAAGCATCTGTTCTTCTCTCTTTTTTGACAATAATAGATAGATGTGGGCAACTGTGGATAAACAAGGAATCAGTTCTTCATCACTGGCTTCACGTAATCACAATTGAAACTGGAAAATTCTGGAAAACCTTGCTACCAGGACTTTGGCTGTGATTTCCTAAGAGCATGCAGAAGAGGGGTGGTGGCTTGATTAAACTGACTTTGTTTCTTTCTGTTTCTATTCACAGCTGTCGCTCCAAAACTCAAGAAACTAAAGAGCCTAAATGTAGAAGTTGGAGCAAAGGTTTCTTTGAAATGTGAGGCAAGCGCTGGAAATCCCCAGCCATCCTACAAATGGTTCAAAGATGGTAAAGAAATTAAAAAGAGCAAAGATATCAGAATAAAATATGGGAACGGAAAGTAAGTAAAAACAGGTGCTTTTTAATCTTAAAATTGTAAACAAATGTTTACATTCCTAATTATGATTGGTATAGTTGTCATAAAAATGACTGAATGGTCTATTTCTAAATAAAATGATATTTTAATCCTAATCCAAAATAATTATGATTCTTGTTTGTGAGCAAGATGTGTTCATAATATTCTCAGAGGATTTATTAATTTCAATATTTCAAGGTGCAGGTTCGACTCGAAGGAGACATTTATCTAAGCCGGATTTTAACTGGCGAGCACTAGGTGGGGGAAGGCTGTTCTAAGGTAAAACTTGTGTTACAAAATGGGAAATCCAACAATTTCATTTTGTCGACTGTCTAGAGCAGAATTCTAGAGAATTCTGAGAGTTGACTTCCACACAGCTTAAAGTTGCTGAGGTTGGGAAGCACTGTTATAAAGCAAGAAAGCTCAACTATTTTTACTGTAATATTTTGTTTAATCATACATGGTTAAAAGAGACAGATAGATTGCCAATTATTTATTAGCATGAGTGATGGCATGCTCCTCCTTAGTTTGTTCTCTGGATAGACCATGTGCTCTACCTTAAATTTTGGTGTGATGAAGGCAGAGCCAGATGGCCTAAACTGGTTATCCATCTGGGTTTTGCACAGGCCTAGAAATCACTTAGGTAACTGAAATAAGTAGTGTCTCTTAGAAACAGGGGCCATTTTGCTTTCTACTTTTGCTTTGAAGGGGTACTTTCTTGCAGCTCCAATGAAGCGAGGTGTCCTCTCCCTTTTTAATGGTATTTAACTATTACTATTTTTTTGGTATACAATGCCACAGAATTAAATTCATTATAAAGTTCTGGTTGATATGAACATGGACCATGAACATTGAATTCTCTATAATGCTGAACACCGGGCTTCTCAGATCAAGCCAGGCCATTGTAGTTGGTAAAAGTTAGCAAGAAAAACAAGGCCAGCAGGCTTCCCAGCATCATATGAGGCAGAGTAGAGACAGTTCCATGGATGTTCATACATTGTGCAGGACTTGGCTTCATGCAGTCAATATTTTGACTGTAGCTCAAGTAAATTCATTGGCCAAATTTGGTGGGAGAGAATTGCACTGAATGTAGTTCAAGATACTAGCTTTAACATGGCGAAATGGTGGCCAGAGCGATGCGTGCGAGTGGCGGCAAGCGGCTGCAGAAGAAGCGGCTGCAGAAGAAGGCGAGGCAGGTGTCGGGGTGTGTGAGGCCTGGTAAGTAGGACAGCTCCACCCCCCATCCCCACCCTAGCTTATTTTTTACCTGTGTGCCTTGCCCCACCCCCTGGGCGAGATCTTAATTAGGGCTAAATTTGTGAGTGGGGCTTAATTTGATTGCATGCGCTCAAAAACGTAATAAGGCTTCTTTTCAAGGTGGGTCGTCTTTTTGGAGAAACACGGTATCTTTTAGATAGATCTGAAACTGGCAGTTTTTAAAAAAAGAAATGTGAGTAGGGCTTTGGATGGTTTTGGACAGAATTAAAGGGCCTTTTCTGCAGAGCATTATTTAAGCATATGTTCTGATTTGGATCTGGATCATAAAATCTCCCAGTGATTTCCTACAATAATTTGGAATTTGGATTTCTTACAAGGAGAGTGATTGGAAAGCTTCTGAGGGATTGTCCCTTGTGATTAAAGGGAAACCTTCTTGTATACATTTGCTCCCTGTTCTCCCCACCTGGCATTTTTTGGGGGAAATTTAAATAACTTTTCAGTATTTGTCATTTTGCAGTGCTCCAAAATGTCAGATTATTCAAAGCTTCTTGTTCAGTTTAGATACTCTGTATCTGCAGTTTTCACCCTTTTCCTTAATGTGGGCCATGGCTTCACCATCAAAACTTTTGTAGACCATCATATAAGTGACGGGTGGCTAATAGACTACCCACAGACACTATGATTGCTCCAGAAAATATATTCAGGATCCTCCAAATTATTATTTTTTTTATCAAGGCTAATATCATGATATTTTCAAATTTTCAAATTTTGTTAGTAACCATTGTTAATAACTGCAATGATTCACTTAACAACTGTGGCAAGAAAGGTTGTAAAATGAGGTAAAACTCACTTAAAAGTTTCACTTAACAGAAATTTTAGGCTCAGTTGTGGACATAAATCGAGGACTACTTGTATAAAGAAATTTCTTTTTCAGATACTCATTAAAATTAACTTCTGGGTCTATTGTTCAAAAATAGCTTTCAATAAAACACTTCCATTGTTATTTTCTTATATTTTCTTGACATTCTGGATTAAGGTATCTTTCTTGTCCTTTGTCCTTTGTCCCTTGACACTTGATACTGAACATTTGCATTCAGTTATCATATATTCTTCCTTGAAATTTGTTTGAGGAACTGTTTATCTTTCATGATGTCTGTTGAGCCAATAAGAATTGACAGGATTGGCACACTTCAAGTCTCTTTTCTTAAACAGTGTTATCTTTAGGGACCCAGGAGGTAGATCTACTGTCAGCACCTGTCCATTGGAATGTAGTTCTTCCTAAATCCTGGGTGGCTCCAATCCTGATAATATTCTTGAAGGCTTTGAAGACCTGCCTTTTCCCTTATGCCTTTGGCTAAAGTGGCTGTGAATTCTGTAGTCATCATTTTGTTTTTTTATTTGCTATCCTTTATCTGTTTTTGAATGGCTTTATTACATTAAAAACCACCCAGAGTCATTTGTAATAAGGTGGAAATTAATTAAATTAAATTAAATTAATTAAATTCTTATTGCTCAATTCTCCATTTTTCCATAGCTATTATGATTTCTTGTTTTAAAATCTACTTGGATTTTTTCTTTTTCTTTTGAAATTATGGAAATTGTTTTGGTTTTGATCCTGTTTTTTCTCTCTTCCTCTTGTTCCTTGGGTTCTCTTTTACATACTAAACATATGAATTTATTTCTTATATTGATTTTATATTTTGATTGTCATATTTTGCTGGCACACAAATTTTGATGGCTTATAGCTTGAAGCAGGGATGTAATGAACAAAAAAAAAATCATCTGGGAAAGCTCTATTAACCTGCCTATATATTGTTGCCTTTACCTAATGACCCAGTGTTGTATTTATCCAATTTTGGTGTTCTGATCAAGTCTTTGTAGCATTACATTTTTACTATATGTTGCAATCACTTCTTGCAATTTGCCACAGAAATCCTCAGTGTCTTTGATTCTTGTAATTTGTGTAACATTGCTGTTCCTTGAATAAATCTGATAGATATTTCATGTGTCATAGCAATATGCAGACCTAGCAATTCCCTTCTTCACTGTCTTTTAAAAACTATTTTACTAGTATGTTTTTATGACTTAAATCATTTGATTTCAGAAACCTGTAAGTTCACCTTACTAAAGCAGTTAATTTAATTAATGTGCTTTATTTTTGTTTTGATAATTTAAAGTTTCCTTGATTTATGGTTCTCATATTCAATTTTTAGTTGTATAAGTCCTTTTAGAATGAGGGAATCCGCTTTCAGTACTGTCACTGTCACATTTTTGGGTGGCTTTGATCTGAGTATATGATCACTTCCAGATCAACTCATGAAAATTTCCCAATAACTAGAGGAGTGATTGCCAGCTTGGGAGTCTGGGTTCCTAACATGTCTATTTAAATATCAAATGCATGTTTTTACAATTGTAAACAATAGAAATTAGCAACAATACAGAAGGGGCGTACCATTGTGTTCTTTGGAGTTACATATTAGAATGCTTTTATGTGAGTTGACTTCCCCTCAGTGGTGAAATCTGAACTGGTTTGCTACCGGTTCGCTGGCTGTGCATGAGTGCTGTGCGCCAAGCGCATGCTATGCACATGCATGTGCAGTTTGCAACAAATGTGCACTGCACACACATGCACAATACACACCAAAAGGAGGCTTGGGAAGGTAAGTAGAACAGCAGGGGGGGGAAATCAGCTGTGGCATGTGATCTTGGGATCCTTTTAAAAAAAATTTCTAAAGCATTATTTTACTACCTATTCACCCAAACCAGTAGTAAAAAAATGCTTTAAAAAAGTAAAAAAAAAAAAAAAAGGTTCCGACGATCACGTGGCACAGCTATGATCTTGGGAACCTTTTTAAAACCTTTTTAAAACATTTTTTTACTACTGGTTTGGGTGAATAGGTAGTAAAAAAATGCTTTTAAAAAGTAAAGAAAAGGCTCAGACGATCATAGCTGTGCCGCGCGATTTTCCGAGCCTTTTTTTTACTTTTTTAAAGCATTTTTTTACTACCTATTCACCCGAACCGATAGTAAAAAAAACGCTTAAAAGGTAAAAAAAAAAAAGTTCTAATGATTGCGCATCTCTCAGCTGATGGTTGGAACTTTTTTTTACATTTTTTTACTACCGGTTCGGCGAACCAGTAGCATTTTTTACTACCGGTTCAAGAGAACCGGCCCGAACAGGTAGCATTTCATCCCTGCTTCCCCTCACCAAGGGAGTGTTACCTCTGATTACCCCAGCTAAGGGTTTACTCTACCTGTTGATCATAATAGTGATCAACAGATCATATTCCCAACAGCATGCCTCTCAAGATAATTTGCGTTACTGAGCCCTCCTATCATGCTAAACTTTTTATTTATTTATTTATTTATTAATTTAATTTGTATACCGCCCTTCTCCCAGAAGGGACTCAGGGCGGTGAACAGCCAAAATTAAAAAACATACAAATGCAAAAGTTAAGATAATTAAAAGAATTAAATCATTGGCTACCCAAATTTAAAACCCCAATTCCATAAAATTTAAAATCCCAATTAAAAACCATTTAGGCTAGGCCGGCTTGATGAAATAAAAACGTCTTCAGGGCTTTACGGAAGGTCCGGAGGTCCGGGATCAATCGTATTCCAGGAGGCAGCTCATTCCACAGGGCGGGTGCCCCCACAGAGAAGGCTCGCCCCCTGGGGGCCGCCAGCCGACATTGCCTGACCGACGGCACCCCGAGGAGGCCCTCTCTGTGAGAGCGTATTGGCCGGTGGGAGGTTATCGGTAGCAGCAGGCGGTCTCGCAAATACCCTGGCCCTAAGCCATGGAGCGCTTTAAAGATGAGAACCAACATTTTAAAGCGCACCCGGAAGACCACCGGGAGCCAATGCAGCTCGCGCAGGAGAGGTGTTACGTGGGAGCGCCACGTCGCTCCCATAATCACCCGCGCGGCCGCATTCTGCACCAGCTGGAGCCTCCGGGTGCTCCTCAGGGGGAGCCCCATGTAGAGAGCGTTACAGTAGTCCAGGCGTGACGTAACCAAGGCATGAGTGACTGTGCACAAGGAGTCCCGATCCAGAAAGGGGCGCAACTGGCGTATCAGGCGAACCTGATAAAAAGCCCCCCCTGGCCACGGCCGTCATATGCTCTTCTAAAGACAGCCGTGTGTCCAGGAGGACGCCCAAGTTGCGAGCCCCCCTCTGTGGGGGTCAGTGACTCGCCCCCAATAGCCAGCGATGGCACCAGCTGGCTATACCGGGACGCCGGCATCCACAGCCACTCGGTCTTGGAAGGGTTGAGCCGAAGCCTGTTCCTCCCCATCCAGACCCGCACGGCCTCCAGACACTGGGACATCACTTCGAGGGCATCATTGGGGTGGTCTGGGGTGGAAATGTACAGCTGAGTGTCATCAGCGTACAGATGGCATCGCACCCCAAAACCACGGATGATCTCACCCAGCGGCTTCACATAAATGTTGAACAGGAGCGGCGAGAGGACCGACCCTTGCGGCACCCCGCAAGCAAGGCGCCTCGAGGTCGACCTCTGCCCCCCTGCCAACACAGACTGGGACCGGTCAGAGAGATAGGAGGAGAACCACCGCAACACGGTGCCTCCCACCCCCAGTCCCTCCAGCCGGCGCAGCATGATACCATGGTCGATGGTATCAAAAGCCGCTGAGAGGTCTAACAGGACCAGAACAGAGGAACAACCCCTGTCCCGAGCCCTCCAGAGATCATCCACCAATGCGACCAATGCCATCTCCGTGCTGTACCCAGGCCTGAAGCCGGACTGGCACGGATCTAGATAGACGGTTTCATCCAGGAACTGTGGGAGCTGTCGCGCAACCACACTCTCCACAACCTTCGCAACAAAGCGAAGGTTGGAGACCGGACGATAGTTTGCCAAAACGGCCGGGTCCAGAGAAGGCTTCTTGAGGAGGGGCCTCACCACCGCCTCTTTCAAGGCGGGAGGCAAGAAACCCTCTCTCAGAGAAGCATTTATGATCCTCTGGAGCCAGCCTCGTGTTACCTCCCGGGTGGCCAGTACCAGCCAGGAGGGGCACGGGTCCAATAAACATGTGGTTGCGTTTAATCTCCCCAGGATCCTGTCCACGTCCTCAGGAGTCACAGGGTCGAACTCATCCCAGGTAACATTCTCAAGACCAGCCTCAGTCACCCCGCCGGGATCTACCCAGTCAGAGTCCAAGCCTTCCCGAATCTGAGCGATTTTATCATGCAGATACTGTGCAAAATCCTCAGCCTGCCCTTGCAAGGGGTCCTCCCGTGCTCCCTGATGTAGGAGGGAGCGGGTCACCCTAAACAAGGCGGCTGGGCGGTTATCTGCCGATGCAATAAGAGCGGAAAAGTGGTTACGCTTTGCCGCTTTTATCGCCACTAGATAGGTCTTAATATGAGACCTAACTAGTGTTCGGTCGGATTCGGAGCGACTCGTCCTCCAACCACTCTCTAGGCGTCTTTTCCGGCGCTTCATCTCCCTCAGCTCCTCGGAAAACCAAGGGGCCGGGCAGGTTCAGCGTCGGGTCAGAGGCCGCAAAGGCACGACTCGGTCCAGAGCACCGGCGGCTGTCCTATCCCAGGCAGCCACCAGATCTTCAGCCGAGTCGTGTGCCAGAGTTTCAGGAACTGGCCCAAGCTCCCTCTGGAACCTATCAGGATCCATCAGGCGCCTGGGGCGGAACCACCTGGTCGGTTCCGTCTCCCTGCAGTGGGGTGCAGCGGTCGAAAGGTCCAGTCTCAGGAGAGAATGGTCCGACCATGACAGGGGTTCAATAACTATATCCCCTATATCCAGACCACTCCGCCACTGACCAGAGATAAAAACCAAGTCCAGAGTGTGTCCTCCCGCGTGAGTGGGGCCATGAATTAATTGTGTCAGGTCCATGGCTGTCATGGAAGCCATAAACTCCCGAGCCATCCCAGACGCCCCACCGGTAGATGGCAGGTTGAAATCCCCCATGACCAAAAGTCTGGGGGTATCAACCGCCACCCCGGCAATAACGTTGAGAAGCTCGGGCAGGGCCGCTGTCACGTGGCAGGGAGCCAGGTACGCGATCAGCAGGCCCACCTGCATCCCATGGCCCCACTTCACCAGGAGAGACTCACATCCGGCTATCTGAGGTACAGTGGCCTCCCTCGGATCAAGACCTTCCTTTATAATGACCGCCACCCCCCCACCCCTGCCCTGGGCCCTTGGCTGATGGAATGCGCGGAAACCTTTTAATCTCATGGAACAGGAATTCAAAAAATTAAACTCTGAAAACCAAACCAGAGGTACGTATGGCAGGTGGAAAGAGGTAAGTGACCATGTAGTAGGATAGAAAGGTAGCATAATATTCATAGAAACATAGAATCTTAAGGCTGGAAGGGATCTTGGGGGTCTTTTAATCCAACCCCCTACTTAAGGTAGGAGACCTTATATCAGGGGTCTGCAACCTTAAACACTTAAAGAGCCATTTGGATCCATTTGCCACAGAAAAGAAAACTCTGGGAACCAATAATTTAACAACCAGTGTGACTGGGTGGGCGTGGCCAACTCAACATCACTCAGTCCCACCCAGTCACATGAACACCACCACCCCCAGCCACACCTACCCAGACGGTCATTAGGGCAGAGAATCAGTTGTTAAATTAAGAAAAGAACCAGTTGTTCCTCTGTTCAGTTAAAAGATTTGACTATGGCTACTTTCTAGGGCTGTGAGTGTGTGAATGAATGGCCATACACTGAACCTGGGAGCACCAGTATAATACTGTCAGGAAAATTCTCCTTAGTTCAGATTGGATCTTTAACGACTTCCACCCATTGCTTCTTGTCCTGGTCTCAAGTGCTTTGGAGAATAAGTACACCCCCTCTTCCCTCAAGCATTGGAAGACAGCCATCATGTCATCCCTAATTCTTGTTTTTATTAAGCTAGACATACCTAGTTTCCTTAACCATTCACCACAGGGCTTAGCCTCTAGAATCCTTATCATCTTTGTTGCTCTTCTCTACATACTTTCTAGGATCTCAGCATCTTTTTTGTAGCATGGGAACCAAAGTTGGATGCAGTATTTTGGTATGGCTTCAGTAGTGCAGTACTAACGGTACTAACATTTCTCATAATCCTTATGCTATCCCTCTTTGATGCAGCCTAGGACTGCATTGACCTTTTTGGCAGCTGCAGTATATTGCTGCCTCATACTTTAGTGATGTCATGTCCACTATGACACTAAGATCCCCCTCATGGTTATTGTTGCACCAGGTACTGCCTATTTTATATCTGTGCATTTGACGTTTCCTGTCTAGATGCAGGACCTTGATTTTTTCACCATTGAATTACGTCTTGTTGCGTAATTTGCGTTACTGAGCCCTCCTATCACAACTTCCAATCCCTCAATCATTTCATCCCCTATTAGTTAGGATTAAGTCCATTATAACTGATCCTCTAGTTCTCATTTCCACCTTTTGGGAAACAAAGTCCTTAGCTGTCCATGCCAGAACCTATTTGATCTCCCACTCACTGCAGAGTTTGTTTCCCAGTTGCTGTCATAGTAGTTAAAGTCCCTCATTTCTACAGTGGTGTGTTTCCTGCACACTTTGGCTAACTGATTAGTAAAGAGTTCATCTACTTCCACCACTTAGTTGGGTGGTCTGCAGTACATTCCAATGGTAATGCCATTTATTTTTCCTCTGATATTTCCCCAAATGTTTTCAAGAAAGCTTTCATCTCTTGCAATGTGCATTTCTGTTGATGTGCATAATTATTTACATATAATGCAATTCCTCATCCCCTTTTTGAGATGGTTCTGTTGCTTCTGTACAATTTTTATTCTTCTAGCAGTATGTTCCAGTCATGGGTTTCATCCCACCAAGTTTCAGTAAACAAGCGCTATCTATACAGACCTTCAACATGAACCTTAAATATAGAGTAGGTTAATAGAGCTACATAGAGACCAACATCTCTATTTCTGCTGCTATCTGGTTGTGCAGATTGCACAGCCTAAATATAGTAGGTCTAAGAGGTGGATGATACAATATATGCTTACTTTTCTTGAGTTGCAACATGTACAGTTCCTATAATCTTCAGGACTTTCACTATGATGGTGGATGGAAAGGAAGATATCACCCACTCAAGCAATGTACCCCACCACCATCACCACTTTGGGTGCTGTCTAGTATGCCTTGTTTGAAAGGGGAAATGTAGGATTTAGTGACTGGCAGGCCTGTTTCCAAATTACAATGATATTTGTGATCAGACTACACTCCTTTGACCATCAAAATCTTGTGAGGGTGGTAGTGAAAGTACCGGAGAAAGTTATATTCAGTTGCTCACATTTGTTGCCAATAAATCATCATTAGATATTAGAATTAAAAAACATGTGGATTTACTTCCTGACTTTTATGGAAAAGTTGTCTCGGTTACTTCTCCCCATCATCTGTTTCTGACAGTCATTTCCAAATCATTAACAAGCACTTTTATTACTTGTTATAACCAATGGTGGAATTCAGCCAGTTCCGGTTGTTAACTTTCTGAGCAGTTTGGCAAACTGGTTGTTGGAAGAAATTATTAGGGCAGAGAACTGGTTGTTAAACTACTTGAATCCCACCACTGGTTATAGCCCTTTCTCTTTGTAGTTAAAAGCTTATAATTTTCCTTAAAAAATCTTTACTAGAGAACATATTTAAATTTGGTAAAAGGCTATTTAAGGTAATTGTTAATTCCACCTAATGTCATTATTAAAGTAGTGTAATAACCAAGCCTTTCTTTTTTTTCCAGGAAAATATCTAGACTTCAGTTCAGCAAAGTGAAAGTTGAAGACACAGGAGAATACGGTTGTGAAGCAGAGAATGTCCTGGGAACAGATATTGCCACAGGCAGTCTCATAGTTAGAAGTGGTAAGTTGTAATATTGAATCAAAATGATATATTTAGTTTCAACTGGCTTTTACAATTGGTGTGAGAAGAAGAACCACATACAAACAGTGATGGCTAACCTTTTCTGGACTGAGTGCTCGAAGCGCAAATGCGTGCATGTGTGCGAATCAGGGGTGAAATGCTCCCGGTTCAGACCAGATCGCCTAATCCGGTAGCGATGGAGGCAGGTGGTTTGGAGAACTGGTAGCAAAAATCCCTGCCCCCCCCCAATTGCCCAGCTCAGCCGCGCAATCATCAGAGGCTTTTTTTATTACTTTTAAAAGCATTTTTCCTACAACCTCTTTGGCTGAAAAAATGCTTTTAAAACTAAAAAAAAAAAAAAGCCTCTGATGATCGCACGGCTCAGCTGGGATCATCAGAGGCTTTTAAAAGCATTTTTTCTACAACCTCTTTGGCCGAAGAGATTATAGAAAAAATGTTTTTAAAAGGAAAAAAAGCCTCTGCCGATTAGACAAGTCAGTTGAGATCATCAGAGGCTTTAAAAGCATTTTTTTACAACCTCTTCAGCCGAAAAAATGGTTTTAAAAGTAAAAAAAAAAAAGTTCACCTTGCCCACTGTCATATTGCCCGCCCCATACCAAGCCACACCCACAGAACCGGTAGTAACAAATTTTACATTTCACCACTGGTGCGAATGTGCGTCCACACCCCTGAACCCCCAAAATGCAATGCGCCCCACCACCCCTGCGCATGCATGTGCGGCCCCTGCATGTGCCCCATCCTTGCACGGGCCCCACTGCGCGTGCATATGCGCCCCCCCCACATGTGAGTGCGGCCCCTGCATACGCCTCGCCCCTGCATGCACATGCACCTCACCCCTGTGCATGTGCAGCACAGACCCGAAGACTAGCTGGCTGGCGGGCGGCACATGCATATGCATACGCGTGGTGATGGAGCTGAGCTGGGGCGATGGCTCGCTTACTCACAGAGAGGGCGCTGCGTGCCACCTCTGACACACGTGCCATAGGATCGCCATCACAGGCATATAAGATGCCTTGAGGGCAGTGGTGGGATTCAGCCAGTTCACACCAGTTCAGCCGAACCGGTTGTTAACGTTTTGCGCAGTTGGCAAATTGGCTGATCCTACCACTGGCTGGCCCCTCCCCTCCCCTCCCAGTCACTCCTCTCCTGGTCTGAGAAGGTAAGGGTGACGGCAGGGGAGGGAGACTCACTCTGGGTGGGGCTGGAAATCTCCGCCATAGGTGGGGCAGTACAAGAAGGAGTGCAAGAAGTAGCACAGCCCTCACTGGCCAGAGCGAGGTAATGGCATTGTTGTGGCAAGGTGAGGCAGCGCAGGTGGCTGAAACAGCGATGGTGATCGTCGGAGCCTTAGTGTGGGAATGAAGCACCCCTGTACTTGCCTTTATGTAGCAACAGCATTCCACCTTTGCCACAGTACATTTGCTCTCAAGGCAGCCCTCACTTCCTGCTGCTTTGGGCTCAGAGCTGTAAGCCGCATTCAGGAAGCACTGCAGTGGTAAGAGGCAGCCAGGTCTGATTCTCCAGCACCTCATCTCTTGCTGGGTCTCGCTGCCCAACAGTCAGGTTTTTAAAAAGATTTTTCAGTAGGAAATGGCAGGCAGCTACTTCCGGCCTTCGTTGATGAAGCTGGGTATGCATGCTTCGGTCACTCAGGGAGACGCAAGACCTGCTCTCTGCCCCAAGACACTGGCCTGCCGCATTCATTGCCATCATCTCATGGCCTGCCCACTGAGACCTGAACTGCACCACCGCCACTGTTGCTGCCTCCTGGCCGAAGTGGCCTGCCCACTGCTTTCGCAGCGCCTTGCGCAGCACAGTAAAATTTAGTGTGCTTCACCATGGAAGAGACGGGATCCCCTCCTCCTGGAGCCCATTATGACACGGACCCACAATGCAACCCTGCCCCACTAGCCCCTGGCAACAGCAGCAACAATGGGGGTCAGATCTCAATGGGCAGGCCATGAGGTGGCAGCAGGTAATGCAGCAGGTGAGTGTCTCAGAGCGGAAAGCAGGTTGTAGCTCCCCGAGCTACTGAGGCATGCATGCCCAGTTGCACCAACAAAGGCTGAAAGTAACCACCTGCCATTTCCTGCTGCAAAAATCTTTTTAAAAACCTGACTGTTGGGCAGCGAGACCCAGCAAGAGATGAGGTGCAGGAGAATCAGACCCGTCTGCTTCTCTCCGCCACAGTGCTTCCTGGATGCGGCTTAGAGCTCCAAGCCCGAAGCAGCCGGAGGCGAGGGCTGCCTTGAGCTCAAATGTACCGCGATGAAGGCAGAATGTTGTTGATGCGCAAAGGCAAGTACAGGGGTTCTTCATTCCCGCACTAAGGCTCCAGCCATTGCCACCACTGCTTCAGTTACCTGCACTGCCCCACCTTGCCGTGAGTGATGTTGAGTTGGTCACACCCATTCAGTCACATGACACCCCGCCCACACTTACCCAGCTGGTCATTAGGGAGAACCAGTTGTTAAATTACTTGAATCACATCACTGCTTGAGGGTATATGTGTACAGGTATGTTAATTGAGTTTTCATGAAAAAAGATGGTTATGATGTCAATTTGATTAAAGGATCTTTGTTATTAAAGCTGCATTTTATTCAACTAGCTACTAATCCTTATTCACAATTTCAAAGAGTCTACAATTTTTTATAATATATTAATATATTCTGGTAAATATGTCCACTGTAAACTTGGGATAGGTGTGTTGTTTTAGATTAAATAATGCTAACTATAACAAGACTTGACTACAAATAAAGCTGTTGGATGCAGGTGAAAAAACAGTGTAGCTGTCCATTTTGTGTTTGTTTGTGATCTTTCCCACAAATTCTGTGCATTTTGGATCCCAGTTCTGTGTTCTGAGAAGTAAGTCCCAGATCATAGTGGTACTTTCTCTGAAATAGGATTGCAATCACATGCATGTCTACTCAAGAAGAAGTTTTATTGAATCAAATGGAACTTTCTCCTAGGTAAGTGTGTGTAGGAAATTGTTGTGGGCCAGGTATTTAATTGAATAGTGCTGTAAAGATTTTCATTACTTGCTATTATGCAATGACACAATAAACTTAAATTATTTTAGCTTTTTCTTGGATTTGCAGCCTTCATTAGTGTTTTTACAAGATTTCTACAACAAAATGTTGTTCTAATTCTCAAAGGTTCTCTTTATGAAGTGGTTAATTTTGATACTGTAGTTCTAGGCTTGTTAGGAATGCAAGCAAGGTCAATCTGCACAGTTCCTGCTCTTATTCATCTATACCAGTGGTTCCCAAATTTTTTCAGTCCACCACCCCCTTGGTACAAACTCATCCTCAATACCTCTCACCCCCTATAAATAGCATTGTTCGGAATAGTGGTTTGCATGACCCACTAAGGAAGATAATAACAGTAAAATTCAAAACTGTAACAATTGCGCATTTATTCAAAATCCAATTTAAAAATCTTTTGTTAATTCAACAAAATTGTTGAACATGATTCAGTGATACCAGGCTTTCAAAGTCTGATAGTCATTTATCAAGAACCTTAGTAACTACTAACTTAGTAATCTCAGTAAAATTTAGTAACTATTTCACAATTCAGGAAATTCTTAATGTGATAGATGGGCTTGATGAAGTGATACCAGTTTTCCAATGTCTGGTTTTAAGTCACTTAGCAGGAGTCTTAAATCACCACATTCAGTAATCTGGAGTCGATTTCTTTGCTTAGAGAGAAGTTGGATGACCACACTGAAACCACGTTCCACCAAATATGATGTTGGAAATGCAACAAGGAGCTTCTTAACCACTGTCCATAGTGCAGGATAGTGATCAGAAATTTCCTTCTATAACCAAAACTCTTGGTACGATTTCTTAAACTTTGGCTTCAGCTCAATGTCATTTTGCAGCTCTATTAGTTGTTCCTCCACTACCCCATATTCCTCAGTATCTGAAAATGGATTTATCACCCAATTTGGAATTTCCATCAAAAGAAGACCCTGATATTGCTCAGACATATCTTTATGCAGCATGTCCAAATGATCACAAAAAACTTGCAGATCATCATCTTGTATCCCACCTTTCTCTTCTAGCTCGGACAAACTCGGAAATTAGTATAGCTTGCGACGGCCTATATTATGCTTGAATAAAGTTAACTTTGAAATAAACGTAGAGATGACAGATTTGGCCTTAATAAGATTGACCTCATTTCCTTGCAACTGCAAATTCACTTCATTGAACTTGCAAACAGTTCTGATAAATAAGCAATGTCATGCCTGATCTCTTTGAGTTCATCACTGAGCAAAGCATTCTTGTCTTCAAAAAACTCCACAACAGTGTCAAAAAGATTGTAAAAGTGTCTCACACAATTGCCTTTTGATAGCCAACGAACTTCTGTATGAAGCAGCAAACGATCGAAATCTTCATCATTCTCAACACAGAGCTCTCGGAATAGTCGATTATTGAGAGCATGTACTTTAATTTTGTTCACTGCATTAATGACAGTGTGTAATGACTTGTGTAAGTGATCACTGAGGTTTTTTGCAACCAGATGTTGGTGATGAATGACACAGTGAATGGTAAAGACATTTGGCACTGCTTTTTTCAAGTAAGCAACACACCCACGGTAGCGACCAGTCATTGATGGTGCGCCATCAGTTGCACAAGCAAGTATGTTGGTCAGTGGAATTTCCTTGTGTTTGAAAAACTGCTCAACAACACGAAATATTGACTCCCCTTTAGTATCTGTTTTTAGTTGCCTCACAAATAACAACTCTTCAGTCAAACTTTCATCTTTAATAAAGCGCACATAAGCAAGAAGCAAAGATTCATTGCCTGGCAAAGTTGATTCATCCAGCTGTAATGCAAAGTCTGTTGTCCGTAGTATGCTGCACAATACATCTTCCACACAGCCATTTCATCTATGCGTCTTTGCACTGAATTGTTGCTGAGAGGAATTGTCTTAATTATATCATGTGGTGACTTATGCAAAACAATACTCAGAACCTC